CTAGACCCTCGGCCGCATCCTCATATTGACGAACCAAAGAAGTACCCGGTGTCAACTTTGGATTATACACCATTGTGCAATGGATAAGCAAAAACATTCATGGTCGTCAGGTTTTGGGAGAAGAATTTTTTTTACCGGTGTTATCCACACGTAAACCAACGTTCGTTCTGAATTGCCTGTGTCTGTGCATATGTTGCGTAACAAGCAAACAGTATGTAGCGACTTTCGTCTTGTCATTATTACCAAATTCTTTTCACCGAATAATCCTCAATCAAGAAGTGTAACTCCATTCTCGAGAAAAGAAAGCCTCGGTGGACCCTCCCGAATCATATGCCGCCACTGATGGCACAGTTTGTCAAATGGGAGCTTTCTGGCTCGTGAAGCCGAATATCCCGTACTCGCGCCGTTTCCGTCAAGCTTGTTTTTCCTGGTTTTTAGTTCTCAAATTCGCGCTCGCCTAGGGAACGATTTATAATAGATTCATCTAGTGTTGACGATGCTCACGTAGTTACAACGAAAACTTTCTAACGATAACACGGATTCACGGGTTTACACACAGGATCGAGGCTTTTACCCAAGTTTCCCGGGTCGCTTTTGTACCTGTCGGTCAGTGGCTGTTGTTCACCTAAAAGGCACAAGTGAAAACAGGATGTAGCACCGCTCTTTATGTTCTCAGCGCCGGGAAGTATGCTCGCCAGCGCGAGGGGTCGCATAAATAAACGTCTAGTAGTGCTTTAAAATGAGTTCTAAAAGGAGTGTGGACAACCGTCGGAGGAAAGTCATTGCACGCACCTACTACCCGAAATGAGATAAATTTTTATCTGATGAATGCGTGCGCCCTGAGCTAAAAAATCTTCTTGCTATGTCACCGCCTTTTGTTTGCTGGGTCAACGGTGAAAAACCTGTTCGCCAAGCTTTGTTCAGACAGGGCATAAGTAAGAATTAGTTCTTCTCGGAGGCGACGGTACTCCAGGGGAAAGAGATCAAGCATCGCGAGACGCGTTGCATATTCCATGGATTTAAGGCCGGCAACCATTCTCGTAGCAGCTCGCTTGACGCGCTCAATGAGGGTGATGCCTTTCGTGCGTCCTGAGTGGACAAATTGGTTGGCTTATTCCAGGAGCGGTCAGACGTGGTATTCGGTAGTCCATGCGTGTAATACGGGAGAAGGTGCGTCGGATCATCCGTAAAATGGCAAATGCCTTTTGGGCCGATTTCTCATGGTGCAGCGAGAAGAAAACGTTTGGGGAGACGCAGATTCACAAATCCTTTTGGCATCTAAATTCGTGATGTTTCCTGGTCCTTTCTCACCATGCATAACAAAGGCATTCGCGGAGTTTTCTCCAGATGACATATGGACGCACTTTTTGTCATTCAGAGGAAATTGCCAGTCCAACGACCACTGCTTGGCAGCGTCTACATCCATTTGGAGGGCACACCAGAATTTCAAGTCGCCCGAAAAAAGTAGACATGGACTTTTAAGAACATCGTTGACGTAGATCAGAAACAGCACTGAGGAATTCCAACGGAGACCGGCGCTGGAGAAAAGTAGGTCGAGCCTATTCTCGCTCGGAATGATCCGCCTGATAGGAACGCCTTGATCCAGCGAACGATTTTGCCTTGAATATCGTAAGACTCGAGTTTTTGGAGCAGCGGAACGTGTGGGACCCTATTAAATGCTTTTGAGAAGTCGAAAAATGTGGCATCCGATGTGAGCCCTTCGTCCCTGGCTTGGGTTACGATGTCCATAAACACGAGCATGTTTGTAACGCAAGAGCGGTGTGGGAGAAATCCGTGTTGACCTGGAGATATCAGGTTGCTGGAAGTAAGGTGACCTATGACAGCTCGCTTCAGAATGCGTTCCATCACCTTGCACGGCACGCTAGTGAGGCTTATAGGCCTATAGCTGCCAGGCGGTAGTCGGTCACCAGTTTTGTATATTGGCGTGACAATCGCTTCCTATTAAGCAGGGGGAAGGCGACCTTCGTCAAGCGACTGACGAAACACCCGGCGTAAATTATTTGTCAGTGTGGAGGACGTTTCCTTCAGGATACTTGGGTGGATCTCGTCGGGCCCTAACGCGCAAAATGGGTTGAGCTTGTGCAAGAGTTGAAAAAATGTTCTCCACCGCTAAGACCAAGTCGGTTAGAGGCTGTTTGTAGTTCCGCCGTGACAAGAGTGGGTGTGACGAAGACGCTGGTGCTGAGTATAGATACGCTTAATGTTCCTTGTGAAACTCGGGTACCACCGTTCGGTCATCTCGTTGGTTTTCCGTTCCTGTCCCCCAAGGAGAACGCAAATGACTTGTTCCTGCGGCGATGTCTCATGTGTTTGAGCAAAACGTTTTTGTCGATGGCACCTATATTGTTATTGTGTGCACTTTGCCACGGGCAGATATGGGTATGCCCACGGTCGGTGTTTATATGTAATCATGCATTCAATTGAAACTTATCAGTAAATTGACCGTACAAAGCCGTATTGTGCCTTGTGCTATTCGATAGTTTTGGTGGCGGAGGGCCATCTATGTAGGCCGTTGGTTTGGTAGCTTGTGCTCTAAAAGAGGACTGGAATCACGCCCTTCAGTAAGGAACGGAAGAAGCCCTAGCTTGTTATGCTCTTCCACAAAAATAGTTCGCAGCCTCAGCCCGCTATACTGCATTCGGAATCCCAGAGCGTTTTATTGGGGTAAGACTTACGCGCTCCACCATATTCAATAAAGACTTTATGTCCACACAAGTTCACTCTTTTAGAAGCGTATAGTTGTTTTGTCCAATGTGGTCGTGTGCATGGTACTGTGAACCTCCTTGAATCAATTCGATTGTTCTACAGTTTCACAAAATACGGAATTTGGGGTGGCACACGTGTAGCTTCAAACATCCAAAGCGCACATCTGACGTGCCTGAGCCACTTATCGGCAGGGCAATCTAAATTGTCGCAAACACATGCGTGAGCAAACCAGGCCATTATCACTTATGCGGTATGTGCTGGCAAACACGGTGCATTGGTTTGCCCAATTTATCATCTGGCTTACAGCGTCAGCTTGCGTGCAGGGTACAACGCAAGCCCTTCCTGTCTTATATCCGTAAAGCCCAATGGCAAGGTGGGTCGGAGACAACCTGTATTTCACACACAAAATGACTTCGTTTTATAAGTTGATACAGTGCAATGGCGGAGCAGAAATGCGTTGGTTATTTTCACCTTCATTACCCGATGTGTTTGGTTGACCATTCTTGCTCCTACTGTGGGTTTTGTTCGTTTCTCCTATGCCAGCCACATAACCGGCGGTGCATGGAAGCCAATTCTGGCGTGTGTAAACGCACATTTTCGCGTCTCGCAAAACTCCGTTTTGAAGTGACAGGATTGAAACACGGCTCACTCTGCCAAGGTTCCATTTCGTTTCATCTGGAGGCTTGAGGTTATGTTTGGCACACCGTGAATACGCAATATGCTAACAAATTTATGGCGAATTTGGGGTCTGCTTAAGAGAGGTGCTCATTTTGGCCGCTTTTCACCTAAAAACAAAAATTTCTTTGCTGTTCACGTGCAGTTTAATGACAGAGTTGAATGATTTTATAAACCCCCGTTCAACGAAGGCTCAGGATACAACAGGCTCTTTACTACGTCAGTCGACTTCAACAGCATGCCACGGAGGTAAGAACCCTTGTGGAGCTGGGTTTCGGAATTCATCACAAAAGCTTCGTTGTATATGATGCACGGCTGGGGCAGTGTTCCACATATATGACGGCTGCTTTAAACGATTACTATCTCTACAACGGCGGGTGGATAAGTAACTGGACTGCACGATCATTTTTGAATGTCTTCACTGCGTTTGCAGAAGTAAAACAATTGCAAACCATGTCCCGCGCGGCGGGTTGGTCGAGCAATGCCGTCCATGATTACCCCCAATAAACTCCCTTATCATACTGCTGCTCAGAAGAAGCCACGTGATTGGGGGCAAGCTGCATCTTGTTGGCCTTACGGTGATTGTTCCAGCAGGAAATCTCTGGACAGCTGACGGGATCTCATTGTTATTTGGAAGATATGACAAATCCGCAGAGGGAGATTCCGTTAAATACGGATGTTTTTTAGGCCGGGTACAATACACCTGTCACCTTAGGACGAAATGTGTTTATGCTAAAGCTATTGTGTGGACTTAGCTGCTCATTCGTCGTTCACCCTAAACCTTTATTTAGCGATGTCCAGAAAGTCAGACAAATGAGTGACCTATCGTTCATGATGCAAGACAAATAATCTCGCTGGCGCGCGTAAAGGTCCTTCATAGTGTAGCAACTTTCTTGTAATGTTCCAAAACGAAGACAGTTTTGCTTCTCTAATGTATCCTTTGAGCATTTCGCTTTAGTTCCCGAAAAGCGGTCAGTTCTTGAACCCAGTGGCATTCATGAACAAATATTCAGGTCTACCTCAACCTGAAACTAGGTCCGCTGGAGCACCAGTCAGAGGTGCGCCACTATCAATGACGATGCGGTTCACGGTCTGCTATAGCTGCAGTTGGCTAATCCTGCAATCACGATATCGATCATGCGACAGACGCAGTTGATAAACGGGCCCACATGCCTGGGTTAAGGCGTGCCATTGAGTATCTGGTTGTCAGCAAAAAATAGCCCGTCGGTGCATTTTCTGGATTTCAGCTTTGGCGTAAGCGTTCCAAATTCAAATTACTGTCAATGCCTAAAATTTTCACTTCGAATTTATGGCGTGATGCACAGGATCGAGGATTCCGCTCAAACTGGTGTTGATGTCAACTCACTCCACCGCGCATCAAACTTGGCCCCTTGATTGGGCTGTAACTACTACCACTTGCTTTTCAGCCACTAACGCAGTAAGTCTTCGTGATTCTTGTTCACGTCAAGCATGTAGGTCTCCACACATTCTTGCAAAACGTTGGCACCTGGGCCTTGTTCAATTACCCTGGCTTTAGACAGAGCCAGTTATCGCCTTGAAAGGTTTCGGTCGAGTCTGTCCCTCTGTGGAGCTGCACCTTAATTCTGCGCACTCTGGGGCACACAATTACATTTTTCGGCCTCCATTATCATCCGAAATGTTATACCAATTTGCTGATCGTCTAGCTGTAGATTGTGAATCAGCTGGTGAGCATTGCTTGAACTCGTGTTAAAAATACAGTCCTCATAGGCAACAGCGCCTGTGAGAAATAAGCAAGTAGACTTTCAGTGGCTGAAGGGGTCCGCTCGATAGAAATCCGTCTTCAGGTCATCGGTTTGGCGTCTTCGACCTAATGCACGGGAAATCAAACAAAGTTACCATTAGTTGCCCAGGCTACGTAGGACCTTCGTTACTTCCTCGTTAAAAATGGTCGCTCTCTTCTGGGATCCAGATTCATCAAAGTCTCCTCACCTGAACGGCAGCTGCTTGATTCCTAATATTAGGAAACAGGCTTGATGATTTTGAATCGCTCGTGAACGTGAACCAATAAAGTTGCAATATCCTGTGTTGCCCCAGATTGAGATGGTTGACAGCTTCTCTGGCACTTTAGCCTATTTGGCAATATCCAGTGTCGTATATTTAAAAAGTCTGCACGTACCTCAGATTCTGTGCTAATAAATTTTGACCTGCCGGTAAACAAGTTTGATGATTCCCTGCCTTAATCAGATCCTTTGCGTTAAGGGCCTCAAGCACTGACTTGCTTTCATGCGAGTGAGGATGGACATTGAAAATCTGTTGTAATACCAGCGGATAGGATGCGTTGATTGGTTATTGACGCCTTCACCGATCTTAACCAGTAATCCACAGACAGTTGGACGCCTATTGCGGATACATCAGCAAATTCCAGTCGCTGATATCTTCCTTTTCTCATTTGCGCATCCGTGAGCTTCAACCTTGTTGGCTGCTCGTGACCACCTTACTCGGGACCCGACCAATACTTTCGGGATCCGCGTCGCTTGGTACAATGCAGTTCTTGCGTTCGGTCGGTCCACGACATACTGCCTTGTAACTAACTGCCTCCTCGTGCGTTTGTTGACCTTTTTTACGCTAGAAAATCAGATAGGTCGATGAAAACGTGCCACACATCAGGAAGATCCAAAAGGTTGTCGGAAATAGACAGAGGCCAACAGCTGTGTCACAGTTTCACATACAGATCTGTCGAGTTCTTAGATTTGTTTGTTTATCAGGCAAGTTGGTTATGGCTTACGCTGGCAACATTTGCTGTGCGCGGGCAGGTTGGATCAAGGCAACATACTACATACTGGGACTGCGAGTTTCCATTGTAGTCCAGGTGACAGGCATTTTGTCATACTAGCTCACCATCTATCATGTCGGTGAAAAGTGCTAACTCATTGTATAAAACAACTCGTGAAATAGTTTCCTGCGACAACAAAACGCATTTGTAGTTAAAAAAACAATTGCGCCCGCAAAATAAATATTGGCCTAAATCATTCAGTAACCTGGAGAAATATCAAACTGTCAGAAAAGTGCGGCAAACGAGCCGATTTCAAATCGTCCCCTTGAGGTGAAATAAAAATGGCAGGGTAATGGCACAAACAAATTAGAATTTCAGTCAGCGCGCACGTACTGTCGTTTACATTGATGAGTAGAGAAAAGGTATGCCACGCATACAACAAACTCGACAGACCAGTCGGTTTATTTAGTCCATGCGCCACATCGGAGGATCGAAAATGAATTTGAGACTTGTAGACTGGCATAGTGGAAATGAGGGCTGCGGTCAAGGAGGAAACAAACCTACACTCTGTTACCTGCAATCCGGACTTCTCCCTTGCTTCATTTTAATGCGATTCAGTGGCAGACATTTGGTTTTATCTTGTGAATTTTTTCTATCTAATAAGATGTTTCTCAGGATCAGGGACCGAATCACAGAGCTGATACTTTTTCTTTGTTTATTTCGCCAACCGGGTTTATATGCAGAGAAGTTTGTTGTTTTTCAAGTCCGAGTGTTATATAAAGGTTGAGACCAAAGGATTCTACGAGACGTTTAGAGGCGTAGATTTTAAAACTAAGAATGTCTCACTCCAGCATAAACACGTTCAGGACCGATTCCGCCTGCGGCATGCAGCTATGTTGGAGCAGCCCATCACAGCGATAGAGAGTTTGATCGGGCAATTAACCTAATTCTTTTGGACCGGTGAATCGTCCTGGCTAACCCATCAACTCAAGCCAGTATCCGTGCCTGTGCTAAGTAGCTTGACCTTACATAGTAATGTGAGGATATCACCTTGGTTTCCTTGGTTTCGGGTGATCGTTTGGTTGACTCGTTTGGCTTTAGTCTGGTGGACTCACCGGTTCCCGATAGTCGACGCCAATTTCTTACGTTTTTCTAACCACTTAGTTCGTCTACATGTTCATCGCTCTGAAAAACTTCCATGTTCGTGCTAGCAAGTTATCTTTTAATTTGCCCTGACCTTATTGTACCCTGTTTGGACCAAACAGCTGCCCTGAGGAGAGTCAAGCCTATTCTTGTCAACAGTGGTTCCATCAAGGCTGTGGTAGCTGTTTCAGGAATATATATGATTCTATAGTAGGCCCATCTTTAGTAACTTTAGGCATGATTTGTACTTAAAACTCACTGGCACTCACTCCACTAGTTCTTATATTCTGCGCCTCTCCATATGCGCAACTGAACAATTAATCCTTGAAGAGCCGTTCCGTTGGCCCGTGCAAACTTCACACAACTGCCTCCCCAAAGCCCCCGCTCGTGTCCTAATCCTCAGGATTCAAACTGACAGCGTCTTTTTATCCAAAAGATTCTTCCTCAGACAAATGGATGAGTTCTGTTACTTATATAAGCAGCGGACCACTTTAACACGCAGAGCTGTGAGAATCAAACAGTTAAGTCAGATCTTACGGCATGGTTCGAAATTCGTGGAACAAATTCTACAATCTTACATTTCCCTGTGGTTGGAACTGCTCAAACACTTTTACTTCTGCATGATCTAGGTTTTTACTGGATGAAAAAACCAGTAACTAGCTGTTTGAGGTGGTATTTTTGCTCCACATCTGGGTTGGGATTGACCAATTTTTATAAGTGTTTCTTTCCTCGCGAAAACGCTGAAAACTACAAACTTTCTCCCTCTTTTGTATGGGATTACCAGCAAAGCTCTCCATCTTGAACTGGTTGAAATAATCTCAAATCTGCGACGCAAAATCAATAGCATCCAAAGCTGTTTATCATATTTGTGGACTTTGACACACACACACACAGCAAACTTAAAAGGGGTCAACGGGAATTAGATTGAACTCTGGTTGACATGTACTAGCATGCGCGTAATTGTATATATGCTTCTTAACCACTATGCAATTTTTGCAAATGCCAAGGCTTAATTAATCACGCAGCATAGTCACAGTCATCAGGAAGGTTCTGGGTTTCAAGCGTGACGTTCACCGAGGTGCAACTCCACACATCCCGTGTTGAAAAAATCGATCAGCCAGGCTGGTCGAAACAGGGGTGAATAAAGGCTGTGAAAATAGGGGCGCACCAATGGGGCAAGATCAAAACTACCATAGCCATGGTCAAATAATTTAAGTAGTCTCAGTGAATGTCGAGTGAGATACTGAGTTAACCGTTAGATGTATGCGGCAGTTTACCCAAAAAATGGACCTCGTGAGGCAGGGTTGCGCAGAACGGCAATACTCCTTATTACGTTTGCGGAATCGCAAGGGTGCGATTAACCTACCACCAGTTCAATGGAGCTTGTTGGAACACCTTTCAAGCGCACTTCCCAACTACAGTCGTTCGTGATATATTCTGCTATGCAGGTTTCTTGTTTTTTCTCAATTAGGGCTTAACAATCGTAGTTTATTCGAAGAACGGAGGCCACGGACTGCAAAATCCCTTTACCCAAACACACGGTTTTAGCGTTGTTTACTTCGTTCGGATGAACAGTTCAACGTTTGTTCCAGACCTCTATTACAGCCGATCATTATATATTGCTTTTAGTAGGAAGTTCCTCCGTTCCAGCGGGCAGCAATCTTCACGTATTTTCTGGCCCATTTTTCTTGTATATTCTGCGACTAGGTACGGGGATCGTAAAGTATCCCGCCGCTTTGATTTTAAGGTTTCGAGGACTTGAGAAATTACCTAAATTCAAGGGTAGGTTTCAAAATTCGATGCGTTTAGTGGCCTTGAAATAGTGTATAGTAAAACAAAACGACGTCAGTAGGAAGCATCGGACGTAAGTAGTCAGATTAAGCATAAATCATCGCGCCAAAAATGCCAGTGTTTCGAAGGATGTTATTTCGGCCTGTACGTAGTGATTTGGCCACGTTCAAAGGCATAGCAAAAGATGGGCGCGTTTGCGACGTACTATTATAAGAGAAAATTATGCATGGTAATTTTAGATTTGCTTTTTGGCATAGCATGTCTACTGATTGAATGATACTCCAGGATATTCTCCAATATATGTGGACATGTTTTTATTACAGAAGTTGCGCAGTTTAGATCCGGCCACCTCGATCGAATGTGGTAGATTTTATGGAAATATTTTCAAGTTAGTTGATCTCCGTACAACCACGTAAGCTTCCAATTAGTGCTGTGTTTGGCTCCTGAGCCAATTCATCTCGGCATCAAACAATGGCTCAGACTGACTGGGTCGGTGGTTTACAAAAGCGATTTTCAAACTGCAGCTCCTGGAATCTTCAGGAAGAAACACGGAATTCATCAGGCGACTCACTTTTAACACTTTAATTTATCCTAACTTCGCAACTTCAAGTATAGAGTAGAAATCTAGTTGAAAGGAATCAACATTTTGTCAAGAAATTGTTTTTTCCAATACAATTTCTATGAGTGGACGGATTTCCATATAGGGTCATGAGTTACTGACTCAAATAAGCGATTCTTGTGAGCTTCTAAAAAAGTTGAAATGGATGATGTATCTTGAGGGAAATCAAAACAAATCGTCCTTGATCTCAGTACCTCTTCACTAATAGGACTAACAGGGATGCTTACCGGTGGATACTCTTCGGCAAAACACTGTTTGTTCCCCAATATCGCCCCACTGAGTACATTTCGCTAATGTTTTGTCGAATTTATGTTTTACTTGAACCTAACTTGCACTCGCTTGGAGAGAAGTTTTGTTCTAAAAGAAAACTCAGTTCACTCTCACCGCAAACCCTCGGCTTCCATAATCTCATTCGACTTATCCGCCACAAAATTCTAGCTAATATTCTGGACACCGACGTATGCTTTCATGATGTGACTCAGTGGCACTGAAACACATTTCGATACACTGATTGTTCCCTTCATCCAGTCTCTTACGTAGGATAATATCAAGAGACATTTGGCTGAGTTTTTTGTAAGCATCAGGGTAACATTTGCATTCACTCCGGTTAATCTCATGGCGGATCAAGTCTGCCCTTTGAATAGCACCAGTAGTTGTAACTCAACAACAATGGCGCCTCCTCAAAAACATCCAGGGTGAGAACACCTCTAAAGCTCACTCTGACAGCTGAGAAAAAGGCAATCGTGTTGGAGGTTCTGAATTCAGGTTGTAACCCCAGGGCCGCATACGCGTTTGTGGTGTGGTGAAATGTTTAGAGGGAAAACACACGACGATGTAGTTTGACGACAAGGCCAGAAGAGCAACTGATGTACGGCTTGCCAAAAGTTTGCTGCATCACAGAACTATGACTCGATATCTGACGTCAGTTCAGCGGTCCCAGCGGAAATTATTTGAACGTTTATTCTGGATATCCAATTTTCACTGGAGCAACATTTCTGGATTCAATTGACCCTAGAGCTTGGAGGTATTTGTGAACTAATTGCACTGCTAAATATATACGAAAAGAACGATCATCGTTAGAAAATGCGTCGGAAACCGCTGTACGCTCCCAACAAAATTCAGTCCATAAAAAACTCTAGGGCACTTTCTGCCAGAGTTTAAACTACTGACAAATTTAAGTAGTCAGATTTTGGTTTGTTGCAGACATGACGGGATGGTCCATCTCGGCTCCAGTGATTCGACGATCTTCTTAAGGGATGTTGAATTGAAGATTCTTGCATTTCGACAGCCACTTCGATT